AGCCATGGCTATGGAGAGAAATGTGGGAGGGAGGAAGAGAAGGAAAGGGGAAGGGAGGGGAGGGGAGGGGAGAGAAGGGTAGGGAAGCAGAGACAAAAAAGATCTTAGCATGGGAACTCACACCTTTAATCCCAGCCCTCTGGAGGCAAAGGCGAATCTGTGAGTTCCAGTTCAGCCTGGAATTCAGAGTGAGTTCCAAGACAGCCAGGGTTACAGAGAAACTGTGTCTAAAAAACAGCAACATGGAAGAATGAGGGAAAGGAAGAGGTAGAGCAACATGAATTAAGAGGAGGCGGCCAGATTTCCAAGGGAGGGAGCCCAAGAGAAGGTGAGAGCTACGAGTGTGGCAAAGGATGTGTCAGACTTTCAGGGCCCAAGAAAACCAGCTCTGAGAAAATCTGCTCAGGGATGAAAGAGGATCTCAACTATGCCAAGCCTTCGTAGGGCGGGGCGGTAGAGTGGGTGGGAGGATCTGGTGGAGAAGGTGGAGAAAAGGGTGGAGGATGTGGGAGGGGCCTGGGCGGAAAGAAACTTAAGGCCAGGTCTTGGGACAGATTTTCAAACACTAGCAGAGATCTGGACATGACTGGAAAGCCGGCTGGTATCCAGGGTAAGTCCGTCACTAAGGCCTCTGGGTAGATGGTGTGGGTGGTCTGCCTGTACCTTTTTATGCTCCCAACAGCAATGAATACATCTTCATCTCCATGAGCTGTTGTTGGTTTCATTCATCTTGGCATTTCTCAGCAAGAAAAACATCTCAGCGTAATTTTAATTTACATTGATCTGTTGGCTATAGAGGATGAAGGGTTTTTTCTTTGTTTGCTTGCTTTTTGAGATGAGGTCTCTCTATATAGTCGTGGGTGTCCTGGAGCTCACCGTGTAGATCAGGTTGGGGGAGACCTCACACATACATATCCTCCTGCCTCTGCCTCCTGAGTGCTGGGATGGAAGGCATGTAGACCACACCCAGCCAGTTTAACTTGTGTATTTTATTCTTTGTTTTATGAGATAGGCTTTCTCACTGTAGTTCTAGCTGTTCGGTAACACTCTTTAATACGAGGCCCTCCAACTCAGAGATCCTCCTGCCTCTGCCTCCCTAGTGCTGGAATTAAACATATGTTTCACCAGGCCCTGTTAGGGTTGCTCGTTCTTACCGTTCATTTTTAAAAATAAGCTCTGAGGTTGGTTGGGTTGAATCTCGGGTGTATTGCTGAGCGGGGCTGGCTAATGAGCTGCAGCTGAAACAGTCTCCATGGAAGCTCCAGGCTCAGGGAAAACCACAGATGAACTCCATGACTTCATCCTAGCTCTAGCTGCAGCTATGGCCCAGTTGTGGTTCAAACAGGCTCTAGGTCTCCATCGTGCCTGGCGACACTGCCTTCCCTCCTGACTCCATGGACTCTGGCATCCCTGTGCCCCGTCCAGGACTCTTGGCCTTGGGAAGAGTTCAATGGAGCAAGGAGGAGATGTCATTGCAGACCAGGAATGATAATACTGGGACATGTCTGAGTGTAGGAAAGGGGCAGATGCTTATTATATCCTCAGATTTGCAGCCTAGGCCCTGTGTTAGGTCCCCCCTAGTTCAGGACATCAGCCCCCACCATGCTGGACGTGGGCAGTGAAACAGCATCCTAGCCTTTGGTGCCCTCGGAAGCAGGGCACTAAGACCAGCAGCAGAGTGTCTGGGCGTGGTCTCTCCTGAGGTGATGCTGCTCAGAGTTCTACTTGGTGTTAACCTGAGGTTCTGCAGGTGGAGGGTGTTGTGTCCAATCAGAACTGGGACTATCTTATTTGCCCTAAATGATTTAGGTGATTTTATTAGTATGAGTGTGTAGCTCATACATATGTAAGAAAGGGCAGTGAATGCCCAGCAAGGATACAGCTCCTGAAAGCTGGCAACCTGGAGTGTACTGCCTAGCTTCAGGAAGTTCTTGATGGTTGGAGAGTGTCCTGAAGCTGCACTTTTCTCTGGGCAGTCAACAACCTCCCAAAATAAAGATATGGAGACTTATTGTGAATTAAAGCTTGACTTTAGCTTAGGCTTATAGCTTATAGCTCTTCATTTCACCTGTGTCTGTCCTATTCTGTCTCCTCGTGTATCTGAATCCTGGCATCTCCTCATCTTTTTTTTCTTCTCCATTGCCTAAATTACTCCCACATACTGTCCCTGCCCAGGATTTACACTTATTCCTCCTTTGCTATTGGACAGTGCCTTTAGCAGGCAAGGTAGGTTTTGTTTTTTTTTTTTTTTTTTTTTTTTACATAATTAAGCAAACGCCAATGCATTTTTCCAGAGTTAAGCAAATATTCAGCAACAGTGACCTTTCTGGGGAAGACTTGATGAGTAAACCCTGGGGTTATGGAACTGTGCCATCCATTTCCCTCCTCCTAGGTTGCCCAGGAGAGGACTGCACTTCAGTGGGATCTCATTCCGGAATGCTTCCACAGCCACCAGTGCCTGGAGTTCTCCAAAATTATCCAGTCAGTTCAAGAAACTTAAGCCCCCTATTATCCCCAAATTACACCCAGATTTACAACCGCCTTCAAACGCACAGGTGCAAACAGGTTTCCAGATGCCGGAAGATCCTGGAAGCAAGGCAAGTCTGCTTATGCCTCAAAGTCCCCCAGTGTATTCAATGCAATCAAGCCCCCAACCGAGTCTTCAAATGCCACAAAGCCCCCTGTTTTCTGTAGAAGAGCTGATGCAAACAACTTTCCAATGGCTCTCAGAACCTGAAAGTATCCTATTTCCACAAATGATCCCAGAACCATCGTCATCAGAACTGAGACTCCCAGTGTATCAAGATGCCCCAACATTGGGGACCAGATCAGCGCACCCAAATCACCAGATGCTCCCAAGCTCCTCAGGGATTTCTGCTTGTGAGGGTCCCTTAGGCTCTATGTTTCCTTCCCATGAGCACGGTGACAAGCAAGTTCACCGCACAGCTCCAAGGAAGCAAAGGAAGGAACGCACTGTGTACACCAGGGAACAAAAGAAACTCCTCCAAGAACGTTTTGCTCTGTGCATGAACCCAGGCCTTGATCAACGCAGGGAGCTAGCACTGCTGATTGGTGTGACTGATAAAGAAATCAAGGTCTGTATTGCTCTTGTCCCTTTCTCACTAAGCAAAAATAGCTATGGCACCTACCTGTACACTTTTCAGAATCCCATATCCTTGGTGATCCCTCAATGCTTGGGGCAGCTTGGGACAATCATGGATGTGGACCTGTGTGCATCCATGGCTAGGCCTAGTTATTCTTCCATCTGGGGACCACTATGGAGCTGCATTATCATCCTGGCAGGGTCTCAGGGACCCAGACAAAAGGAACCCTTGTACAACCCCAACATCCTAGCTAAGGATTCCCTAGCCATTCTGTGCCAGATCATAATGCGTTCTACCTTCCTACCTTCCTACTTCCTGTGTAGCCCCAGACATCTGTTGTTTATGCGGGGAGTTGCTAGAGACAAGGTTTCCACACTGTATGTTCGGTTCAACTAGACACACCAGATTCTTCTGACAGCTTCTTTGTCATTCCAGGTCTGGTTTAAGAACCAACGCGCCAAGCAGAAACGGATGAAGTCCCAGAGTGCTGAAGAACTGCCAGAGAAACTCTAAAGCTGTGTCTGGGCCACACCCTTCCCATGGTAACTTATCTGGCCTTGTCTGTGCCAATGTAGAGTCCCTGTCTCCAAGCACATCCATTGGGGGCTCCATTCCCAACTCACCCACAGCCTGGAAGCATCGTATCTGGGCATAGAGCTGTGTGTGCTGCCACTTTCCCTGACCTCTGCGCTTTTTTCCCACCAGGCGTGGTTTGTGAGCATCCACCCTCAAGAACATCAAGACATGCCAGGAAATCGAGGAGGAGAAGTCAGTGCATCAGAACAAGTGCTCGTGTCTCCATCAATGCCTCTGCCCCTGGAGGTCCTGAGTGATCAGGCCTATCAGATTTTAGCTATCTTCCCAAAACCAGCCCCTCTAATATTACCTCAGACTTTCTCTCATCTTACTCAGGCTCTGGGGAAAATTCAGGGTATGGGGCTGGTTGGCCAAGACCCAGCTACCAGAACCACTGGCCCATTTAGATCACAAAAAAACTACAGACCCAGTTCAATCAGCAGCCTTTCAGGACACAACAGAGTCAGCTCCAGAGATAAAATCCAGTCCCAACCAAGGCTCTAATACCTCTCCCCCTTGTCGATTCAGCTGCAGCTCAAGCCGCCAAAGGTGCAGGCTGCAGCCACAGCCACAGCCCTCCATGGACACGATGCTCACAGCACAGCTGCATTCCTGACCACTTCTTGGTCTATGGACTCTAGAGGATCAACTTCTCCCTAGATAATGTACTTCCCGAGTGAACTGTCCATGACTTTGTCCAGCCCTACTCAGATTTCTAAGAAGCATTTGGTCCTTGAGAGACATTGCTATATCTAATTTAGGTGGCATTGTAAAAAGGTGGGCCCAGGACATATGTCTTGCAGGCATGGTTGTGGGTTGGTACCTGTTCAGTCCTGAGGATTCACACGTGAAGTCCTGGTTGGGGTTCATGTGTCTTAATCCACCACCTCCCAACCTGCTCCCTGTGGTCATTGGGTCCTTTCATAGTTCTACAACAGTCAATAACCTTGGCCATTAATGTTCCACTTTCATTGGGAGACTATGGGGTACAGTCTGGGATTTCAGCACCTTCAGTTAAGGGGCTGAAAGAAGGTGATTTTTCTTGCTGATCACATTGGATAAAGATCTACCAAGTCCTCATGGGTGGGCATCCTCCAGAGATAAATGCTGTGCCATTCAGAACAGGAGTTTTATAGCTTGCATAATCGCTAAATCTTGTCCTGGCTGGTTTTTATTTTGGTAAGTATATGGGTTTTTGTTGAATTTTATTAAAGAAATGTGTCATTAAATTCAATTCTGTATCTCATATCTGTGTCATGTATTCATTGAGCTGGACACTCCATGGCCCCTTATCTACATTTTCTCCACTTGAGACATTAACTGTTTGATTCTGGGGCACAGAATGATCCTCAGGATGAGTATGGTGATTCTCTGGACCTTGAGAGTGACGAAAAAGAATGCAAACCTGGACCAAGCAGTCAGCACACAGCAAACACTACTGTCAACCACAACTTGGAGGAGGAAGGCATTAGACAGGGAGACAGTGGCCTTCTTTTCCCAGAGACTGAGCCTTTAAAAGCTCAGCACCCACCCTCTGAAAACCCGGGGACAGGTCTCTCAAACCCTGGAGAGCCAGCTACTTCAGTAGATGACCAGGTGATGGAGGAAGGGCCCTGGCTTAAACATCCATCCTTCCTGGCTATGCATCCACAGCCTCAGAAGAGACCAAAACAGGCTGTGCCCCAGGAGCAGCATTCTGAAGCAGAAATGGGCCCTGTCATCTTGAGCCATGATTATCCAGAGCCTGCCTTTCCAAGCCCAGAGACCCAGCAGGAGGGGATTCCAGGCCCTGCTTCCCCTCAGCTGGCCCTTCCTCTGGAAGAAGTTGAGGAACGTGGGCCATCTTCCTCCCTGCCAGGATCTCAGAAGGCCAATTTGGAAACCATGTGGGGACAAGGAGCTGTGGCAATAGATCAAGAACTGGTTACACTGTTAGTGAAAGAAACAGAGGCAAGATTTCCAGATGTGGCAGATGGATATGTCAAAGAGCTTATTCATTTGAAGAACTACTATGATTTGAATGTACTTTGTAATTTTCTTCTGGAAAACCCAGATTATCCAAAGAGAGAAGACCGGACCATTCTCCACCCCAGCAGCAGTCTGCTTGCCAGCCAGAATGATGTGGAGTTGACTAACATAGACTTTTTTGACTATTCCAAACTGACTCCACTTGACAAGCAATGCTTCCTCCAAGCTGGTGAACTCTTGATGGCTGAATTCAAGATGCTCAACAGCAAAGACATCAAGTGGGCCCTACACGAGTTCAAAGGACACTATGCGATCACCCGGAAGGCCTTTTCTGATGCTTTTAAAAAATGGCAGGAGCTGTCACCTGAAGCCAGTGGAGAACAGACAAAGGGGAAAGAAATGAACCAGGATTCTTTCATAGATTTCAAATTTGAACAAGGTGAAATAAAAATAGAAAAGAGGATGTTCCTTTTGGAAAAGAAGCATCTACAGTTTAGACACTGTAGATCCTATGAGCTGAGCGACCTCCTTCCAGCTGTGCGGCTTGAGCGGGAATTCTATGAGCAGAAAATCAAAGAGATGGCAGAGCATGAAGACTATTTGCTAGCCCTGAAGATGAATGGAGAACAATATGAACAGGACGGACAGCTGATTGAGTGTGGGTGCTGCTATGGGGAGTTTCCATTTGAGGAGCTGACACACTGTTCTGATGCTCACCTGTTCTGCAAGGAATGCCTCATCAGATATGCCCAAGAGGCGGTGTTCGGGTCTGGAAAGTCAGATCTGAGCTGCATGGAAGGCAGCTGCACAAGTTCCTTCCCCACCAGTGAACTGGAGAGGGTGATTTCCCAGGCTGTTCTGTACAAATACTATGAACGCAGAGCTGAAGAAGCAGTCGCTGCAGCCTGTGGTAAGGAGCTTGTCTGCTGGTGTAGCTTCCCAGGGTCAACAACTTCAAGATCAACTTCCGTCCTATGCCAGCACCATACTTTCCACCTCTGCCCAACGTGCATGTCAGCTATGACTTTGGCCTCGTGCATGGGGCCCTGGAGCACAACCTGCACATGCGATTAGTCCCACAGCCGTGGCATCGCTTCTGACGCCCAAAGCCCTCATCCAGCCACACTGAGGCTGCAGGAGGACCCAGGTCACCTTATGTGTGTAGAGTGTTTGCTTCCCTCTTGAGGGTGGGCCCATTTCCTCCTCCGATTTCCTTTGCAAGCACCACTGATGGAGCAGGTCTGACACCCTTTGGGTGCTGACTGTCACGGGCCAATGTTAGGACAGCTCTCAGAGTTTTCCATCTTCGCAGCCAGTGCAATGGCTCAGGCCATGAAGTTGAGGCTCATTAGTCATTTGCCACATTGCTGTAGCAGATATTGTGACCCAAGAGAAGTGGCCCAGCATCCCCAGGACAGGCCTCTCCCCCGTTGTGGGCCAAGGCGTGCTCAGGTAAAGCGGCTCAGACTCTGCAGTGCAAGTTCTATATGTTATCAATGTAGTTGCTCCTGTTCATATAGTTGTGCCTGAAGTTGTTTGTAGGTGTCTCAAGTTTGTCCCCATTCTTGAAAGTTAGGTTGAAAGTATTTCCCCAGCTCTGGCAACTGCTGAGAGCCAATGATCCTAACACTTGACATCAGACAAATGGACCCTTCCGGGGTTACCCTTTTAGGAGAGACTTGTCACCAACCTGGGATGAGCTGCATCTCTAAGGGCACAGGTAGCCTCATGGGGCTGCTGCAGCTGTCACAGCAGCCCTCCTGCCTGCTTACCTGTCCCCTCAGGAGTTAGCAATGCAAGCAGGCAGAGGCTGAGGCCCCAGCTCCATCCAGGATGACAACAGCTGCCTCCCTGAAAGTCAGAATGTCCCCTCAGTGCTCACACTGCCTGTGTCCTCTCCTGCCCACACCTGGTCTCTGTCCCTGTAGCCTGCTTGTGGAGAAGGCCCTGCCCCAGATGTGTCTCTCAGAAGCCAAGTCTGTTTAAACTATAATGGAAAAGGAGTTATATAACTTGAATTTCCCATAAGCAAATATTTGTGAATGGTACCATTTAGTCTAACATGTCTGAAGAGTTCTGGTCATGCATCCCTGGTTGGCCTCAAAGTCACTCAGTAGCCCAGACTGTCCTTCAATTTACAGTTTCCTTAGCACAGTATCCAAAGCAGCCAGGATTGCAGGCCTGTGCCCCTGGTCTGGCTCTGTTCTCCTTTGAACACCTAGAGACTCATGACCAATTTTGTCTGTTATTACTGGATTTTCCCCCCTTTTGAGACAGGGTCTTCTGTAGCCCAGGCAGGATTGGAAGCTACCATTTAGTTAGCATAAGCTGGCTTTATCATTCTGATTCTTCTTTCTTCACCCCCAAGGCCAAACAGGGCTGTCGACCCAACATAGAACGTAGAAATAAATGGTCCTAACTTCTATAACCTTTTAACGAATTGGCATTTAAATGTTAGACTACAAACCTCAACAACATATTAAGCTCCTGTTTCTTGTGAAGTTTAGCAGTTAAGGGGTCAGGGCAAATATTCTGTTTTAATTTTACACAGAATCCTGTCACTCCATATTCATTTGCAAACAGTGAGTAAACATTGTGGGGTCCTGGTTAGCCACAACTTTAATGCTGAAACTTAGGAGGGTAGGTATGTTAATCACTTTCCAATAAGGACTGCCTGGTCAACATAATGAATCCAGATTAGCCTAGGCTGATGGAGAAATCCTGTATCCAAGACAAAGTAATTATGATTGAATCAGTAGGGACTCTCAGGTGTGATGTAATCTGAGAGGCAGTGAAGGGTGGGCGTGGGTAATGGATTTGAGGATCAGTGGGGAGGAGCCAGAACCAATTCTCCCAGTGCATCCTGGTCACCCAACAAGGGTAACTGGATCAGAGGCCCCTATCCACCAAAAAGCCAGCAAGCTCCTCAGTTACTTCTGCTTGTTAGAGTTCCCTAGACTCTGATGCCTTCAGATAAAGAATTACAAGCACTTTCCTGCCAGCCTGGTCCCAGAGGTGTGTCAGACCCAAATTAATACAGACTCTATTAATTATAAAGCAGATGGCCAAAAGCTGAGCATCTCTTTTGGCTAGCACTGTCTTAAGTATTAACCCGTAATTACTGATATTATGTATTTCTACATGGTCTTGTCTTACCTACAACAGACTCAGGTGTCCTTTCTCCCGAAATCACATCTCGACCTTGTCCGTTTTCCAGAATCATCCTTGTTTCCTACTTCTGCTCATCTTACTTCTTCATTGTCCAGTGTTTTATTCATTAACCAGTAAGAGAAACATGTTTACAGAATGACACTTCCCATCATCTTTTCTGTGTAAATAAAAAGAGCTTCCACTTTAACATTGTTAACTACATAACAAAATAATTACCAAATAAGAACTATAGTTAATATTTAGGTCATGCACATTTAGCACGAGTTAGATATTCCATTATCTGTCCTATCTTTGTGAGTCTAAAATCTTATATGTAACTTAGCTTTAATCCTAAGGAAAACTACAACCATGACTATCTGTCTTCAACTTCAAAGACCACAGAAGGATAGTATATAATAAACTCTAGAAATGACAGACAACTCTCTGCCTGATCAGTCACCCGAAATTCTTCTGTAACGTTCCATTTTCGGCCCATAGGCCATAGTCTTTCTAGCAGACTCCTCAGCAAAGCAGGAAAACTTTAAACTGCCCACCTGTATTGGCAGTTTGTCACTTTTCTGTGTCCTGCACAGTCTGGCAGACTCTTCCATGAAATGGAGAGTCATGTCCAACTTGTTACAGCAGTAACTTTTCTGTGAGTCCTGCATGTCCATTTTATACAGCATAAGGCCAAACAGTCCAGACAAGAGCAGTTTCTTACACAATTGGCTAGTCTTGACACGTTGGAAGCTAACTCTAAGGAGTTTCTTTGATGTCCATCTTCCTTTCTGATACAGGTGGTATTGCCAGGAGCAATCATGTCTCACTGTCAAGAAAAACCCTAAGCCATTTTAAACGCCATATTCTATAGGTCTTTGCAAGGTTTGAAGAATGCCTATCCATTTGAAATATATTATATGTCTAGAAAACTTAACTAACCTAGGTAACTATAATTTGTACTTATACATTCCATTTTAAAATGTACTATACAAACACAATACCAGAACAAGAGGAGACATACACAATCACAAAATTGACCTCAAATTTGCATCAATAAATGAAAATCCATTCCAAAACAAATATTTGTTTCTATACCATAATCCCCTTTTACCTTTAAAAAGATTGGTTGTGATCATTGACCATTTATAACCAACCCCATTAAATGAAGACAAACATTTATAAACAAACAATATTTGGGAATGTGGTATAGTTTTTTTTGCCCAACTGCTTCCTGCTGGTTGTGGATGCTATAATACCGTGGGGACCCTAAGAATCATCCAATCCTAGCTGTAGTAGTCTGCAAGGCTGCCTTGTCCCAAGTGTTTTGAAAGTTGGATCACCTGGACACTACTTTAGGGGTCTTGCTTTATCAAACCATATTGGTCTGGATGGAATGCACAGGTTTTTATTTTTGTGGCATGTAACATTTTCCAAAGTAACATACCCTTGTACTTAAGTTTTGAGTGAAGGCATTTTAAATATGTATACATTGGATTAATCTAGCATCATTTCTTTTAGCTGTATTTCCTCAGCAGTCAAAAGTGCAAAGACAACACAATAGCATACAGTATCCAGACTCTATTTTCTATCTTGACATGACTTTACTATTCTTATTGTACTTATTTTTTCCTTTTTTGAAAAGGGGTTTTTCGTGTCACTCTTGGCTGCCCTTGAACTAAAGTCTGTACACCAGGCGGTCCTTGAAATCAGAGATCCTCTTGCCTTTGTCTCCAAGTGCTGGGATTAAAGGCCTGTGCCACTGTACCCAGATACCCTCCCTTCCTGTCTTTTTAAAACCACTTTATCCTGGTTTCTCTAAAGTCCATGTATGTTTTTACATACATTGGGAAAACCTTTTAGGTTTTACTTCATCTTCACTGCACCTTTTTTCTAGCCACATTGTCTTGTCTGTTGAACTGTTGCTAAAATAAAAGTGGCAGCTATTTTAGCCAGTGGCTTTCCTCTATGGCAGGGGAGCTTTTACGGCAAGCACTGAGAGCTGTGTGTCCCCAGTCTTGGTCTTTGCTGCCATCGAGCAGCACGTTGCTGTCTTGGACATGTGGTCACTGCCACTACCAGCTGCTGGTACACAACATTCCATTGTTAGCTGAGCCTCCTTAAAGAGCCCTGTGTCCTTTATGCTAATTCAGAGTCAGGATGGCTCCCTTAAAGGAGCCTTGCAAGTCTCCGCTTGTCTCTACCAAAATAGAGCCCACCCGAGAAAAGTTTTGCTACCAAGAAGCCTCGTTTGTTCTTTTGTTTCTAATATCCCTTTTTAAGCGTTTGTCAAAGGTTTAAGTGTTAAGTTCTTAGAACCCACGTTGGGCACCGTTTTGTTACCAGCCCTTTGCAGAATGACATCTCCCATCAAATATGGTGTCAAACAAGCTTGCCCTGAAGCTCCAAGGATACAACAGAAGGAGCAGGAGCATACTGTCTACTCCAAAGAACAAAAACTCATCCTCCAAGGTCATTTTGATCATTCCAAGTACCCAAGCTTGGAGCAACTAGTGGAGTTGGCCATAAGGATTGGTGCGACTGAGTGTAAGATCTGGGTATGTTTCACACTTGTTCCTTACCCCTCCCGAGCCAAAATCGTTGTGGTGCCTGTGTTATGTATAACCTCACACATTTGGTGATTCCTCGATGCTGTTGCAGCTTGGGACAGTTGAAGGTTGAACTATGTGCATTCATGGGCACCGCTATGGAGCCCTATTATCACCTTGGCAGATTCTCAGGGACCTTATAAAACCAGATATTCTATCTGAAGCTTCCCTAGTCATTTTGTGTCACATCATAAATCTTACATTCCTTCCTTGTTTTAGAGCCCCAAACATTTATACAAGCATTGCTAGAGGCAATATTCCATCTAGCATGTTGCTCTAGGAACACAGGTCTTCCTCTGACCTCTTTCCCTTTCAGAT